TCTTTATTACCCTCCTATTTCTTGCTTTTGCATTAATAGTTTGACATCTCTCACCATGAACCATCTGCTTATATATCGTTCCTTTTACTAGCATTTTTTTCATTTATTTTTGCTTGGCAGTTGCATCAAAGTGTTTTGTTGACTGTTTATATCTCTCAAACATTCTGGTTGGATGTTCATATAGCTTCACAGCTTCTTTTACCCAATACCTACTTTTTGCACTATATTCCAAACAAGTTTTGCACAACCAACCTTGCTTTGCCGCTGAATACATAGCAAATCCAAATTTGGTTTCCCATTTTGCTTGGGTTTGATGTTCAGCGAGATAAGTTGTTTGAAAACTTTCAGGAACATCATCTATTACTACTTGACATAAATTTTCTATCAGTTGCTCCTCAATGTCAGATAAATAATCTTTGGAGTTTTCAACTACTTCATCTATCATTTTAATTGATGACTCTTTACTATTGGTTTTTAGTTCATTTGCTGCATTATTAGCATTTTTGAAAAACGTGTAAAGCATTGACTGTTGACGTAGATTATTTTGCGGAAAAATTCTTATTGATTTATATGTTGATGCTAACATATTATTTATAACATATTATAACTGGGTTCCACCAGTTGATTTATTATGCCCCATGTTTACTTTATTAAGTTGTTTAAACTTGTATGATTTTTAATGTATAAATATAAATTGCAAACAAATAAAAATGTAACATTAAAAAATGCTTATGTAACAAAGTCAAAAAAACGCTTCTTTAAATGAGTTAGTTTGAATTATAAAGAAATGTCTTTTAGTCCATTTAAATTTAAAATATTTTTTAAATGTATAAAATAATTTCATGACTATATTACTTTCACTAAACTGGAATTTTAAAGTTAAAACATTCTTTGAATGAATCTTTTCAAGTCCTTAAATTTTTAAAACATTCCGTTAAGTTCGTGATAAGGTTTGAAAGATGTTTTAATTCATTTTTTTTAAAACAAACGCTCAATTAGTAAGCAATTGATAGATTTAAACTAATAACGACATGTAATTCAGAAAAATTTAATGATAAAATTATTATCGAATTTTTCTGAAAAAAAAATGAACTTGCTCAAATAAACAGAATATTTGTTATGAACTACGTATATAACGTTATATAAAGTTATATAACAACTCAAATTAACTAGTTGTACATTTTTTGGGCGCCCATACCGGTAAAACGGTACTAAAACACGTCTATGTTCTTCACTGTATATATATATATATAAATATATATATATATATATATATATATATATATATATATATATATATATATATATATATATATATATATATGTATATATATATATGTATATATATATGTATATATATATATATATATATATATGTATATATATATATGTATATATATATGTATATATATATATGTATATATATATGTATATATATATATGTATATATATATATTTATATATACATATATATATTTTTTTTTTCATTACAATTTAGTTTTATAAAAACGTTATGCTTTTATGTTTCAAAGATTTAGGGGTTGTTCATAAAGTACATATGCTTTTTTTATGCAAACTCAGCCCCCCCCCCCTGGTTTTGCCATACGCTTTTTTGAGTACCCTCTACCTCCCCTAAGTATACTTTAGCATATGCATGCATTAAATATTGTGGTGAAATCAAATTTTAATGTATTAGGTGTGCATTACAGCTATTTTTCTTCTAAAATTTGTAAGATTTAACAAGATTTCCATTTAAGCTTTTCCATAGAAACCCTATGCCCCAAGTGCGTCAAATACCAATTGAAATTCCATAGTTTTTCTTTGCAGGCTTGGTCGGAAAGCAGGAGCAATCACTCTTTATGTACGAAACAAAAAAAAAATATTTTTGGGACATAAACATAAAAAACTTGAATGCTCTTAAAAATCTGGGTGCAGAAGAATAAAAAGAATACTTTCGAACTCTAAAAACCTGCCAAATTAACAAACAAACTAATTCTATTGGTTCAAAAAATATGCTGATCAAGCGAAATAAAGTTCTAGAGTATTCTGTTGAAATGATTTAAAAATTGTATTATTCACGATTTGTTACGTTTTGAGATTTCTAGCATAAATTGTTTTAAGAATATATTATCAATTCTATGGCTCATTCTCGGAGCCATAATCTTATAATCTTATAATCTTATAAGCTTTAATCTTATAAAGCCGTAAATCTTATAAACTATTATTTGTTTACAAAAATAAATGTTTTAAATATATATTATTTAAATTGTCAAAATTTTGAAAGTTTATTAAAAACTATAGATTTTATTAGTATATACTTATTTTTTATTTAAAAAGTATGTATTTTTTATAAAAATGTAATTTGTGTATCTGTTTTTTATCGATTTAATTTGTAAACAAAGACTTACAAAAAAAATTGCGTTTTAAAGAAAGTTAATAATTATAAAAGTTATTAAAACTAGTTATGTAACAAACATATAAAAAGTTTCTAATTACTAAACACAAACAATGCATAAAAAGTAACTTGTGGATGAACAATCACCGCGCCTGGGGTCACGACAGAACACAAATATATATAGCAAGTTATTAGATATAAAGAAAAGTTTCTAGATATTGGTTTACTAAATCTAATTATTTTAGTTAAAGTTGCCATTCTTCAAAACTCGCTATACTTTTTTTTGCTTTAAATACTAATTAGTTGATTTCTATCTAGTTAATTTAATTTCTATAGTTATTTAAAGATTTAATTATTTTATTTGTTTATCTTACTAAGAAGAATTGTTTCATATATGTTAAACTTTTCAAACAATGTGAAATAAGTATTAAAAAAATTTTTATTTATAAAATAATTTAGCTTAGATAAAACTTAAACTTGCAAATGTTGATAAATAAAGAACATTTGTTTCCTTTTTAAACAATCATAAGATGTTACTTTGTATAAAAAACGCCGCTTAATTTTATAAAAAAATTGTAAAAGAGTGATGTTTCAAAAATATTTGTTCTAAACATAATTTATTTTGCTTTAAGTTTTTTCGCGTTTAAAGATATTTTATTTTCCTAATTTTTTTTTTTTTTTTTTTGTAACTGTCTCTCATTGGTCCAATTAATTTTTAGCGCATTAATTTTCGCTTTTTGAAATATTCTCAAAATGACTAAAAAATCTGGTCAGCTTTTCTAAACTAATTATTATTTCCGTGATCAGCAATCGAGAGCGATCGCTCCCACTTTCTGACCACGCCTGTCTATGGTTTTTTTTCATGGGGAAATTTTCCAAATGAGGCATAATGGGTCTGCTAATAATAATAATAATAATTATCAAAAGTGGTTTCTAAAACACTAATATCTTTAAACATGTTTATATTGAAAAACTTAATTTTTTTTATCTAATGCAGGCTTTCCCAGGAAAGGCGTGCGATCGCACGCCTTGTTTGTCCACGCATAGAATAAGTTTTTCAGAAAACGTGACCGCGGCAATATTTCGTGTGAAAGCGGAAATTATTCACAGAGAATAAAAAATAATATTAAAAAAAGGAAACGAAGTCTAAACAAAGTATAAAATTGAAATTGGATGTAAGAAAAATATTTTGATAATAAAAAAAAAAATTTAAAAAAAAAAAAAATTCTTGTAACAAAAAAAAAAAAAGTCTTGAACATTTTTTTCAAACTTTTTATACTGTTTTTGTTTGCTTTTTTAAGGGTTGCTATTTTCAGCTACAAAATTTGATACAAGTCAAGGGAAAGACGACGATAAGTCGTAAAGTTTTCACGAAAATAAAAAGACTTGATACGTAATTTATTCACGAACTTTATCAGACAATGTATTAAAAAACTGATTCATTATTTACGCTAGACAAATTTGGTTAAACTTTTTCATTTATTTTTACAAAAGTTTATGTAAAGGCGTTGACTTTATTCCCCAATACTTTGACAAGAAAATAAGTTGCTGTTTTAATTATTAAATATATTATTTCAGATTTTAAACATAACAAAATTTTAATGTGAAAAAAGTTCTTTCTCGACTTATTCTAAACTGATTATACTGAGTCAATGCTCGCCTTTTATTACGTTGAAATTATTCAATTGCATAATTTTGTAATTACGAAAGAAGTTAAAAAAATTATTGCATTGCTTCTGTTGTCATTGTTACGAAAACAGTTCCTTCGGGACATTATTATATATTAACACTCGTTCACAATGTCAATTAATGATTGCAAAATAAACAACTCAATCGTTTGACAATAAAATTTTCTTTCGCTTAAAAAAAACAACAACATATTTTACTAATAAATAGCAATCATTTTCGTGTTTTCTTGCGTATCAATACATTCAAACATTTAAATCAATACACTTAAACATTTAAATGTATTTACAAAACATTTAAAAATTGTTTATAGTTCTATCGTGAATTTTAAAGTATTACTGACTGATAAAAGTCATAAACAAATTTACATTAAAAAGTCCTTTTATTTTCTTTAAACATTAATCTTTTTCTCTTTGATTTGATTTTTCTTATTGATTTGATTTTTCATAGCTAAAATAACTACCACCCTAAAAAAATAAATAAATAAAATGTAGGTAAATTTTTTTTTAATAATATACATTAATTTTTTAATTTTAAAGCACAAGCAGATTTCTGTTATTTACTTTAAGATTGCTTGCATTTTTGCGGTATTTTTGTTTAGCTTTGTTTTGGCGCGAATTCTTGAAACGCATAATAATAAAATGTGGTCAGTTAGTCAGAAAAATTTATTCTATGCGTGGACAAACAAGGCGTGCGACCGCACGTCTTTCCTGGGAAAGCCTGCTAATGATATTAGATAAATATTTGTTCTTCATGAAATGTTACTTCATAGTTTTAATTTGGTCTTAAAGGATATAGAGACAGGATGAATAATTTGAATAAATATTGAGTTTTTATATATTATTTTGAATCCTTAAAACAAAAAACAAATTAAAAAAAAGGATATTTAAAGTGTATATAATAACATTATAAAACTTACATTGAACAAAAATTGTTGTATTTCTATAAACTGTTATTCCATTTCCAGAAACATCCAGTAGCAAGACACTTCCACAGTCTTTGGCATAAAAAGCACTCAAATTGTAAACATATTTATACATATTGTTAGTAAAGTCAATGTAACTATTGGCATTAAATGCTTGGTTTGCATGCGTTATTTTGCTACTAGGTTTTGGTCTACCATATACTGTTAGTTCTACAAACAGTTCGTTACCATCGTTTACAAACAGCACCTCAGGAAAACTCAAAATTACTGGGTCAGCTAATAAATAACAATACCTCATATAAAATGAACAATTCTATAAATAAATTTTAAAACATTTAAAATTGTGACTTAAGATTTGAATAAAACATGAATTTCTGTTAAACGCTTAATTGAATTTAATCAGACTAGCAAATTTTATAATCTCATTTTCTGATTTTTTTTTGGAAATTTATTTTTACAACTGCCAGACCTATTTACAATGTGTACATCAATTTCATTGTATAACTTAATTAATCATCAACATCATTGTCATTATTGACGACATAATTATCTTCATCAACATCATCATCATCATTATTAGCATAATCATCATCATCATCATTATAGTATAACCATCATCATCACCATCATCATCATTATCATCATTATTAGCATAACCATCATCATCATCATCATCATCATCATCATCATCATCATCATCACCATCATCATCATTATTATCATCATCATCATCATCAAAAAAATAATAAAAAACTTGATACAAACCTTTAACATCCAAAGTAAAATTTTTGTTAATAAAATTAACTATTGTACCAATCTGTTGCATTAATGTAACTGTGAACACCGTAGAATCATTGGCTCGCAAATTATAAAAGTTCAATAAATAGCCCGAGTTTAACTGATGACTAGCTGAAACTCTGTCACCGAAAATAATTCTGCCTTCTGGCACTACTGTAAAAGAACTTGGAGATGCTGCTGTTGCTATGAATATACTTTCATTATAAAACCATTTTATGAAACCTATTTGATTATCAGGTATATTTAAAACTTGGGTTGTTATTGTAACATTGTCTCCTTCTTTTAAATCGGTCTTGCTAGCAAAAATATTTAAAGAAGCACTCTTGACTAAAGTAAAAAAAAGAAAAGCAGAACTTAAACTCTTAAAGTATATTTATATTCTTAAAAAATTTTGATATTTACATTTTTAAAAAAGATATTTAAAAAAAATGTTATGTGTACAGAAAATTATAAAATAACAAAGTCAAGTGAATCACACAAATGATATAGCTGCACACTCAATAGTTTAGGAAATGATTATATCATGCAAAAAAAAATTTAAAAATATAAGTATATATTTAAAAAAAAAAAAAAAAATTTTAATATTGCTTAAGGAATGAAACAATAAATCATGAATCTTGCAATAAATTTGATTAGTCATCCAATAATCAATTTCATTGCAATTTATTATTTATTTTTGGTGCACTCAGTCTACAATAAAAAATAAGCAAAAAACATAATGCAAATGTTCATTCTCTTCTTAAGCACATAAACCAACTTTAGTATCAGCGACGTATTCACGTGGATAAAATATGGAATACGATACAATTGGATTTAAATGTAAAATGCATATTTTGATCGGATTAAAATATGAACAATTAGCACTTTCAGGGCTAAGTGTTTCATATTGCAATTAGTTTTTCATGTGTTTCATATTGCGATTAGTTTTTTGTTAAAAAAACTATTTTCGCAAAATTATCTTTTGAATAGTATGATAATTTGCTCACTTGCACTTTGATTTCTATTCAACAGAAAGCAATTTTGAATTTAAATTACTTTAAATCTCTGTGTGGAAGCAAATAATATTTTAAAATAAATTTAGTTTGATTTACTGAATGGATAAAGTACATCGCAATAAATTTACCTATAAACTAAATCAAAACAACCAGTTAATTTACTACAGTAATTTACTTAACTACTAAATTTACTTAATATACTAAAAGACTTGCGAAAATTAGCCATACTAATGTTACTATTTATATATCATATGTTGTTAACACATAATATAAGCTTCTAACTAAAAATTATTTTAAAAAGAAATCTTGAATAGGTTATAAAAAAGGCGATATTTATACTTTCATTTTATTTAAAGCAATATCTAGATTAAACATTTTCTATAAATATTTTTAGGAATTATAGTTTTTATAAATAGTCTAATTGTTTTTTTAAAATCTATTTGAACAAAAGAATTTTAGCCTTTCAAGATTCTTTTATTTAAATAAACTTACGATTGAAATTTAAAATAAAAAAAAATTAAAATTTAAAAGAACTTTAACGCTCAATAATTATAAATTTAATTGCAGCGGCGTCTGTAATACCCAGTGGCATAGCGAGGATCACTCCTGAAACTTATGTGTGTCTAGCTATAGTAACAATATAGATTTAAAACATAGTGCAAGCAAAAAAGAAAGTTTTATTTAAATCGTACATTTTGAAAAGTTAATTGTATTTTGTTTCTTAAGAATAATTTTAAAAGTAGAAACAATCTATTGTAAACATTAAATCAGTGATTATTGTAAATGTTGAACCAAACATTAAATTATAAAAAATTTAAATAAAAAAAAGTTAACTTATTTATTTCTGTGCAAAAAAACTTTTTTTTAAAGAAAAATTTAAGCATATACTTAAAGGGATCCAAGTTTTTTTAATTAAAAATAAATAATGAATGCATACAGAGAAAAACTAATCTTGTTGTTTTAGCCGAACCTCGCCTTCTCCATTTTACTCAAAAACTCAGAATCTTTAAATTATACGTCACAATCTACAGACTTTGGCAACTCCTTTGAAGCGTGTTTAATTATTATAAGTTTTTGTATTTGACGTCACGGTAGACTTTTAACAAATAAAAAAATTTAATTAAAGAAAGCTGCATTTTTCTAATTTAATTCAAAAAGTATGTTGCAGTATTTTTTAAGATACAGCAAAACAAATTTGTTTGTATTATTTTTCTAAACATGGCAAAAAAAAATTCATAAAAATTAAAATAATAAATTATTTTTATTTTATAGAAGGAACTTATTTTTTACAGATATCTTAGTTTTTAGGTTTGTATATCTTACTTAGATTTCTTTTGTTTTTTAATTAAAACAAATATTAAAGCTTTACTTACGAATCTTATGATTTTCTTACTTGTATTTTACATTATATAGAACGTTGTATATACCGTCTCATTTTTGTGCAAGAAAGCCCAGTATTATACTTTCTGAATCTTACTTATATTCATTTAAACAATGGGAACTATTTTCTAACTTCTCTGGTCATTTTTACACTATGACATTTTTTGCCTTCTTGTTGAAAAAAAGTATTTATTATTAATTACTTTCATTAACTGAAAGTATTAATTAGAGATATTTGATGAACTGTTAAATTTTTTTATCATAAAAAACTTTTGATTATGCTGATTTAATTTAAATTGCCAAATTTGCTAAATTGGATATGGATAAAATGAAAATATCATTACATTTTGTATTTGATTTTTGATAACAAAACTATTAAAATGTCGGCAGCTTCATACCAATTAGAACCTGTTAAGGTTATGAAAAAAAAGTACAAGAATACACTAAACAATACAGTTGACAGTAGTATCAGATATGAAAATTTGTGAAAGAATAAGTGAGAGCCTGGATTTGCATTACAAGTACAACCAATAACAGCACCATTTAGCATTATAAATTTTGATTATAAGTTTACTGTTCAATATTTTATAAACATCAAATTAAAAACATGAAGTACTAATATTTTTGCCCATTTTATACAATTAACATTTAACAAAAATATGGACAAATCGTTATTAATTAACGCAACAATTAACACATTAATTAATGGCAATAATTCAAGATAGATAGTTATTTAAATTGTCAAAATGTTGTAACGCCTGTTAAAAAACATATTTTATCTGGTATTTCCTAATTTATGTGTCGTATTTGGAATTTGTCTCTTAACATGGAAAATAGAAAAAACTAACAAAATTGACAGAAAGTTTTCAAGCAATTTTTCCTTCCAATTCCCATTAATTTAGAGAAAAACTACAATTAAACTTTTCTTTCTCTCATCTAAAAAAAGAACGAGTGACGCAAAAAAAAATATTCTATACAACTCTTATTCAATCAAAGTCTAATTATGTGAAACTTTTCTTTCTCTTTTGTTCTACTCTTTTATAAAAAGAGCGCTAAAATAAAAAATTTTCTTTCTTAACATAGAATTAAACTTAGAGATAAAATCAAATTAGAAATAAATCAATAATTAGCAAAGCAACTAATAGTCCAATCCAGGACTTTTAAAATATAATCAACATAAGCAACATTACCAACAACAATAATCAAATAAACAACACAATTTTTTTTTTAAACAAAGCATAATTTTAGGGGCTTTTATTGCTTAGTCATTAATATTTAAATATTTACAGTTGCAATATAATTAAAAAAATGATGTTTAATGTTGAATTTTTTATTTAGTTATTTTTTTACCTACATTTGTTATAGAACCCCCATCATCAAAATCATTTGTTTTAAATATGTTTCAACATGATTATTCAAACTAAATTTTTTTGTTCGACTTCCCGAACTTCATGCAAAGCGAATTCAGACAAAATATTTCTAATAAAAAAGCTGTTACTAATTTTATACGGGTAATTAATATATAACAACTTTTTTCAGAATATTGATTGATATAATAAATATTCATCATTTATTAACATAAAATATAGCGCAATAGCAATTTATAGCAATGAACCAGCATAAAGTATTTTAAAAAAAGGTTTTTATATTTTTTTAAATGTTAAAAGTAGAAAATAATTAACTTAACAAATAATGAAAAAATTTGTGAACAAAAATAAAAAATTTTCTAGAGTTTCATTTGTCAAAAGTCTACTGTGACGCCAAATACTAAAACTTTTATGAATTAAGCACGCTTCAAAAGAATCGTCGAAGTCTGTAGATTGTGACATATAATTTAAAGACTCAGAGTTTTTGAGTACAATGGAGAAGGTGAACTTCAGCTGAAACAACAAGATTAGTTTTTCTCGGAATACATTCATTATTTATTTTTAATTAAAAAAACTTGCTTCAAACCTTTTTTTCAACATTATCTTTAATATGAACACACCATGTGTTGAGAGTTTGGGATCCCTTTAAACTTAAGGAAAAATAATTAGATTTATTCGAGATATTAGACCAAATTTTTTTCTTTCACTTTTAATTGCAAAATGATTTAAATGAAAAAATAGAATGAAAACATTAATTTAAAAACCATTTAAATAAATAAATAATTATACTTGAACTTTTAATAGTACGCTAGATCAAGAAACAATAAATTATAAAAAAATGTGATATCTAATGCTTTTTTGCTTTGATCTTGTTCGTTTTGGTCTATAGATTATAGACCCTTTTACAGCAAAGCGGCGCAAGGAACGAGGGGGAGAGGGGAATTTTTTTTTTTTTTTGCATTAATTTGAGCCCTGATTTATATTTTGATAATTCCTTTAATAAAAACATTAATTTTTTTTTAAATATATTTATTATTATAATTAATATGAGTTTCTCCTTTGGGAATTTTTCATAACTATAATTTACAATGCGATTAAACACTATCAGCTTTAAACATTCTCATTTAAATAATAGTGAAATTTTCAGTAAAAATGTGAATAAACATTTATAAATAATAAGGTAAATAAAAAAAAAGTTATTTGAAAATATTACTAATGTTATTAGTAATAACATAATAAAAAAATATTTGCAATAAGATTATAACAACCACATTAAAAAATTTTGATTTGGATTTAAAGACTTGATTTAAAGACTTGATTTGAAAAGTAAGAGAAGAACAACAAAAAAAGTTAATAACTTTTCAATGAACTTTAATTATTGGTGTTTTTTTGCAAAAGTTTATAAAATATGTTTAACTTATGTAATATAGATCAAACAAAGACATCTTGTAAAAGCCACAACAAAAATTTGTCCACATATAGATCTTTGCACAATAAAAAAAACAACTGGACAAAAGTCAATTTTTAAACCATTTTAATTTTAACCAAACCACAAGACACAGTACAAGTTTACAAAGAGGTAGGT